TGGAAGGACACACAGCTAGACAGAGGCAGCGCATGTACAAGAATCCAGATATTTTGTTTCCTAATCTCCATAATACCTTCTTTGTCTCCCATTTGAGACAAAGTCAAGATCTTTGTTTTATCAACAACTCCTCTCTTTCCCCACGAATTCAGAACAGAACAAAGGCACTGCTCCTCTGAGAAAAGCAGAGTCATGTACACATGTCTTCTCAGTAGCAGAAAGTTAATCAAAAGTAGTCAGTGTGACCCATTGTACTTTATATCACTGAATTCATTTTTGACATTTGAAGAACCTATGGTTTTATTTTGCTTTTATTTAGAACAGCAAGTGGGAGGTAAAAATGTCAAAATAACTAGGGCCTCGCAGTTCTGGTAAATCTATTCACTGGATTGTTTTAAAGACTGTTGAGGGTTTAATTTTTTTCCCCCTAATTGCCTTCATCTGTTCAGCAGACGTTCCCCGATTGCCTAACCCATACCAAGTCCTATTGTGTCGGATGCAATGGAAGACCCAGAGACGGAAGCACACACGAACCTACTCCCCACAAGTAACAGGGTTCCTGTCTTACCAGAGAAGGGGAATGCACACAGCTGATCTTAACTGTAATAGAGCACAGGATGTGACAAGCGCCCGAAGAAATGTGTACATCAAGTCAGATGGGGTGGGAGGCAATTTCCAAGGACGACAGTGCCAGGTAGACAGTGATGATGAGGTATTACAGGTAGCTTTAAATTACGAGCTAGAAATTACAGAGTCCACTGGAGATGTGTGCAATAGGAGAAACTACGAGCTCGGTAAAGTGTACCACCATCGGATGTCAAGATGAGATATGGAGATACGGGTTTCCATCTTGATGCTTTTAGTATATAACAGTTTACCCCAAATAAAGAAGTCAGTTTAACAGAAAGTCTTGTGTTTCTACAGAAGAACCAAAGAACTAAGAGGCAGACAAGAAACTTACTGGCCGGGAGCGGAGGTGATATTTTGTCTGAGTGTCTGGTGGGAGTAAACACGCACCTGTACGCACATACCTGACTAGCTTTCTGCTCAAGAATATTGACGGGGATTGAAAGGGCGCACTTGCTGTGATGAGCACCAAGTGTTGTATGAACATGTGGAATCACTAAATTGTAGACATGAAATTAACAGTAACACTGTATGTTAACTAATTGGAATTTAAATAAGAATTTTTTTTTAATTTTTTTTTTCAACGTTTATTTATTTTTGGGACAGAGAGAGATAGAGCATGAACGGGGGAGGGGCAGAGAGAGAGGGAGACACAGAATCGGAAACAGGCTCCAGGCTCTGAGCCATCAGCCCAGAGCCTGACGCGGGGCTCGAACTCACGGACCGCGAGATCGTGACCTGGCTGAAGTCGGACGCTTAACCGACTGCGCCACCCAGGCGCCCCATAAATAAGAATTTTTTAAAAAGGTATTGATGATATCCACTCCTTATTGGTTTGTGGGATCTTGCACAAATCAGTTCACTTTTCTGCACCTGTTTGAGAATCCCTAACATGAAGTACTGACATCGGGCTCTCTCAGTTCTCATGTCCTCTGTTGTTTTGCTTATTGCATACATACATGCAGAAAAGAGAACACCAAACCATCACGAACCCATTCTCCACACTTTACTAAATTGTGGCATCAGCAACAATAGAATAAGCCTTCTACGAGTCTCTGGCTTCCCTCTGATTCTTCTTGACTCTTATCCTTATTCAGGTAAACATGTTAGCCAAGGTCCTTTGAACGGGGCACAGGCCACCGGTGTTCTGAGGAAGGACAGGTCAGTGGGAACTATGTTAGAGCCTTTTCAGTAGCAACCCACTACTCCTCAAAAAGCAAACTGAGGAGTTGAACATACCACTTTACCACCTAGACTGCATGCTATGTGAAAAAGCCAAGAAACACCTGTTGCCATTTTGCGAACTGGTAAAGGAAGGCACAGGAATTAGACCAGATGTTCGCTCCCAGTATCTCCTTCCGTCGAGGGACACAGCTCTTAAAAATACACCACCGGCTGCTGAAGTTGTTGCCACTTCACTCCTCCTGGCCCAGGGTTGCTTTAGATTTAAAAACATGTTTCCAGAATCCAACAAACACAGTTTTTGCTATAGTTCGGATCTGTGAAGAGTTATCTTTACTCGTGTATTTCAAAGAAGAGAAAGGAAACAAACATCAACCTCCTCCTCCCATTCTTTTCCAACTCATGAAGACACTTTTAAAATAAAGACCCCATTATTTGAGCTTCTGGAACTATGAAAGGGAGAAATCCAAAATGAAGGCCTTATTTTATTCTTAGGTACTAGAAAGAGAAAGAATGTGTAGTTGCCATAGAGGTACCCACCACAGAACAAGACCAACGCCACAGTTCAACTGAACTGAATAATAGCTCGGGGCCCCTTACAGGAGTGAGAAAAGTACAAGGGTTTACTTGTGCAATAACCTGTAAAGGGAGGGGATGGTAGATTAAAAAGACACTGAAGAATTCTAAGAAATTAAAATGCGTTTGTAAGACTCCAGCAATTAGGACTCTACCCCAGCATTACCACATTGCATATTGGAATGACCCTGCATGTGACACCCTGATCAGTCACCAGGACATTCAGAAGCCATTTTAATCAAGCCTAAAGTGCCAGATCTGCCAAGCCCTGCATTAAGTTTTGAGGTATGGGCAGGATATGGCTTCTCAGGGAACTCGATCTAGAAGACAGAACTAGTAGATTACAATGTGGTCAACTCATGTAATGATTGTGAAAATGCCCCCAAGAAAAGCAAAGAAAGAAAGAACATAAAATAGGCCAACCATTCAGGTGCAACTCTAGAGAGATATGTGATTTTTAGGATAAGAAGAAAACATAAGGCAGGTTCATTTTCATTAAATTTTACTGATTGTTCTATTCTTAATCATAAGACCTACCATTTATTGGCCATTTGCTATGTCACAGATACTGTGCTAAGCATTTATCTCATCCAACCTTCCCAATAGCGCTATGAAGTGGAGATCATTTCCTCTCTCAAAAAATAAGCATAGAGGAAGGTCAAATAAGTTGTGTAAGCTTAAAAAGTAAAGATATGGAGCCAGGATTGTAACTCCAGAGCCCTTGCATCTAACCATTATTTAGCGTGGGTTCCACCCGCACAAAGGAAAAGTACATCAGGTATGAGCCAGAAGCTCAACACAGCAGTGAGACCTGTTTGTGTCAAGGCAAACCCCACAAAAGACCTGACTAAATCCAGTGATCCACTTCTCAGTCCTCCTCGCATCTGATCCCACAGAGAACCTGCTCACTTACTCAGTCTCGAAGCAGTGTTTTTCACTCCGTGTCTGGACAGCACCGTCCCTTGATTCTCCCCCTACCTAATGTCCCTGTTCATGACATCCTTTAATGGTTCCTCTGTCTCTCTCTGAGACATCAAAATACTGGCCCGGCCTTAATCCATCGCCTCAGGTGATGCTACTCAGTATCAAGGTTTTCAATTCATATCCATTGACTCTTAAATCTATATTAAATCAAGATTTTGCCCTGGGGCCCCAGAGACCAATATACAACTGTCTACTCAACCATTACTTGCATGTCTAAGAGCTCAAATGTACCACACCTGAAACCAAATTCCGGATCACCCCTGCTCTTCAGAAAAATCAAACACAAAACTGATTCTCTTGCTGTCCTCCTGGCATCTCACTAATTGCCACGTCCATTCTTCTAGTAGCTTAGGCTAGAAACCCAGCAGTCATTCTTGCCTCTTCTTCTGCTCTCGTATTCTACATCTACCCTGTCCACAGAGCTTTTTGAGCACTACCATCCAAATGTATCCAGAATCCCACTACTGCTTAGCACCTGCCCCGTACCTACAACCAGCCATCATGTCTCGTGTGGATTATCACTGCAGCCAATTTTCTACTCGCACAAGGCTGATCACGTGACTCCAAATGCTCCCATCTCACTCGGACTAAGAGTCAAAGTGCTTACGACAGACCACAAGCTTGTACTGTATGATGATCATTGGCCCAACAGATTCCCGACCCCTTCTTTTCTCGCTCCCCTTAAGATCACTCAGTTCCAGCTATCTTTGGCCACTTTACTCTTTCAGAAACAGGCTAGTTGCTGGCCATGCACCTCTCCCAGGGCTCCCCCACTCGTGCTCTCCTCCTTCAGGGACATTCTCCCCTCTGTCCCAAACATCTGCATGGCTCACTCCCTTCCCTACTTGAGATTTCGGCTCCAATATCACCCCCTCATCAGGCATTCTCTTCTCTACCTACCTTATGCAAACTAGCAACTATTACTGCACTCTTACCAAAGTACTTCCTGTGTTTATCTTGCTTTTCCTCTACAGCACTTAACTCCATCGGACTTAATGTTTACTTGTTTTTTTTCTCCCCAAAGGAATATGAACGGTTTGGGGAAATACATTTTCTTTTATTCAAAGCTGCAGCTTCACCTTCTAGAAGAGAGCCTGCCATTCAATAGGTGTTCACAAAATATTTGTCATGATACAATAATCCCCGCCCCCTTCCCCATGAGGGATACATTCCAAGACCCCCAGTGGATGCCTGAAACCAATACTGAACAGTATATATACACATATACTGAACAGTACATATACACATATATACATATACTGTATATATACACATATATATACACATATACATACATAATACTGAACAGTATATATACACATATATACATACATATATATATACAGATACATATATATACACATATACATATATATACATATACATATATACATATACATATACATATACATACATATGTTTTTTCTGTATATACATATCTGTGACAGTTTAATTTATAAATTAGGCACAGTAAGAGATTAGCAACAATAACAATAAAATAGAACAATTATAACAATATACTGTAACACAAGTTACATAAATGTGGTGTCTGGCTTTCTCTCCCAAAGTACCTTATTGGACTATACTCATCTTTCTTCTTGTGATGAAGGGAGGTGATAAAATGCCTACATGATGACATGAAGTGAGGTGAGTGACGGAGGCATTGTGATGTAATATTGGGTCACTACTAACCTGACAAAGGCCAGAAGGAGGATCCTCTACTTCTGGGCCAGGGCTGACCACAGGTAACTGAAATCATAGAAAGCATAGCCATGGATAAGGGGGGAATGCTGTAATGAATAAATGGTGCCTCTGGTCACTCTTATTAGAGTTCCAGAAGACAACCTGAAGAATCCATAAGAATAGTGTAAAATGTAAAGCCGCAGTGTAAGTACTTCTAAAAATGGCTTGCTGATTTAGAATCAAAGTGAAATATTATATACATCACCATAGATTTGGACTGTGAGTCACAGACTGTCAAACGTGAGAGGCAGCTGTAGTGGACCAAGATGTAGCTGGGAGTCAGACGATGCTGGTTCTGGTCCTGCCAGTGCCCCTGACCTGCTATCCAACCTCAGACAAGCAGCCTCGTCCCTGTAGACACTCCTTGTCACCCAAATAAACACCGATTCATCTCTGCTCTCTAACATCCATTGGTATGAATTCAACTACCACTCATTCAAAAGATACTCTTTCTGAGTTTACACAGAGGAGATAAATTCATTGCTGTCAACTCTACTTACAAGTTAGGAAAGAAGTCACATTTGAAATTGTGTGCCTTTTTTTGTAAAATTATGCCACATCGTTAACACCTAAAGTGGGAGATAGAAGGTTCTTCCTCTCCATGCACCACAGTGGGTGTTAGATGTCATCAACTACAACACAGAAGTAATAACTATTTAGGATGCTAAACTCTTCCAAAAACACACGTGCATGGGTACACACACACACACACACACACACACACACACACACACGTTAACACAAAATTCACACCGAGAAAACAATTTGCAGTTTTCCCTCAAATGGACTCATTTCCCATCTTGAAAGGCAGTCTCACATGGGCACGAAATGTGTTTTCTCCTAAGTAGTAGAGATGACCTTTAAAAATGCACCCCCTCTTTCTTCCCCAGCCTGCAATCCCATGAAGATCAAAGCCAGTTTGCTATTCTGCATTAACATTTCTGTGATCAGATATAACGTGAGCACCTCGATTCTATCTGTGTCAAGATATCTTCACACAAGTGACTCATCTGGTAAAAGCTCAGGCACTGAACACTGCTCTGACAACCATCTCCTTTGAGGTTGATTCCACGTTGGTGGTGTTACAAGCCAACGTCCTGTTCAGCTGCTTTCCTCTGCAACACAACACTGTAATTAAAACTGACTAAACAATAAATCTCAATTTCCCTGTTCCATCAGGAGAATCTTCCAATTTACTAGGCTTCGTCTATTCGCCAGCTCCTCCTCTGAATCGTTCTTGAACAAGCACACAAGTTAACTACCCACTCTTATGTTGAACGTGCAGAGATTCAGTGCCAATTCTGTCATTAGACATCCTAGATCTGCTCCTTGGGGACCTGAGAGGAAACTGGGTGTTATGCCTGAGTTAAATATGTGAAGAGGCTATCCCCCTCCTCACGCAGGCCCTGTCAGCTCCAGAAAGCACAAACTCAATGGGCTGCCCTTGCAAGGAACAGGCATCTCTTTGTCCTCCTAAATACCTCTTGCCGTGACCAAGTTCCAGTTTCCAGAACCCGAAACACCTTTGCCCAATGAAAACCTTCCTGAACTTTTTACCCAACAACTCACAGACCATGAATGGCATTCCCTCAGGCTCCAAGACAATCAAGTTAGGGAGGCGATGTAGAAAAAGAACGTGGTAAAAAGAGGTGAGAATATTAATGATGAGAATGGTGAGAATATAACGATGGCACTGAATTGTGTTCCAGTGTATGGAGTCAAAAAATAGATTCAATTTTTCTCGTAGAAATAAATGCAAAGGGTTGTTGGGTACCACAGAGCTACCCACTTGGACAGTTAATTACAGACTAAATACCCCTGTGCTAAAAAAGAACTGAATAGTTCCCGATTGGCATCAGAATAACCTCAGAACTCTACATGAAGCGCAAAACACAGTCCACAATCTGGCTACTGATCCCTTTTCTCATGGACAGCCTCACTGTCTATGCATTAACCATGTGTGATCATTGGCATTCCCAGAAACAGACAGTGGTAGGTGAGATAACACTTCAGTCTTAGATATCTGCGCTCGAATTCCCAGAAGCTGTGCACGTGTTGTTTTACTTGGCAAAGGGAACTTTGCAGATGTGATTAAATCTTGAAATGGAAGGGTTCTCCTGCATTATCTAGACGGGCCGAATCGGATCACATGACTTCTAAAAAGCAGAGAACCTTTCCCAGCTGTGGTCAGAGGGAGACATACCCTTAGAAGAAAGGTCAGAGAGATACAAGGTTGCCGGCTTTGAAAGGACTGGGAATTTCCTTCAGAATAGGCCACAAGCCAGGGGATCCGGGAGGCCGCTGGAAGCTGGAAAAGCCCCCAGAATTGCCCCCTAGCACCTCCAGAAACAAAAGCAGTTCTGCTAACACCTTTACCTTAGGTGAAGAGACAGGTACTAGACTTCTAAACTACAGAATTTGAAGACAATAAAGAAACGTATCGCTTTAAGTCACCAAGTTAGTGGCACTGTCACAGGGATAATAGAAAACTGATAACATAGGTCAAGCTCACCCCCACTTTCCGGCCTTTGCCCATGAGTTTCATGAGCTGATGATGGCCCATGCTTACTTCTCATAGTTTTCCAGATCATAGTTAAATCAGCAACACATGACTATTTTCTCAGTCCTAGTTCCCACCGGGTATTTACTACAATACTGTCTGTTTACTACAGAAACCACTACAGTTATATGTACTGAATAAGTAATCTTAACGGGAGACTAAGATGAAATTATTCAAGGATTTATGAAACATCAGAGATCAGAGTCATAACTCGGAGGTTAGAAAGCTAAAAACTCTTGGAGCACCTGGGTGGCTCTGTCAGTTAAGCATCTGACTCTTGACTTCGGCTCAGGTCATGATGTCACCAGTTTGTGGGTTCAAACCCCACAAGGGGCTCTGTGCTGACAGACTGGAGCTTGCTTGGGATTCTCTCTCCCTCTCTCTCTGCCCCCTGACCCACTCAGGCGCACATGTGCACACGCACTCTCTCTCCCTCAAAAAAAAAAAAAAAAAAAAAAAAAAAAAAAAAAAAAAAAAAAAAAAATTTAAAGAAAAAAAAAGGAAGAAGGTTAAAAACTCTTATTTGACATTTGACAGATGGGGAAATTGAAACCGAGAGATAGGAAGGCCCCAGGAACACCGCACAATTTTCTGTCAGTTAATCCAGTTAATATTCAAACCACTTACACAAGTTCCTCCACCTGAGGTGAAAGGACCTCCAAGATGGAATCACATCTTTCTAATCTGACCTCTTAATGTTCCTCCCTTCTCGTACCCTTCTCCCAAGACAATGCTAAACTGCACAGGGTTTCCTGAAATTGCTTATATCTCTGCTCCTAGAGCATCATTCTCACCGGCATCACCCAATGCCCATAGCTGACCATGAAATAAAGGCCAGGCACAGGCGTGACTTTTTTTCAGGGGAGAATAATCTATCTCTGGCGGAAAGTGACTTCAACAGCCACCACCATCCCTCCTACTCCCAACACACACAGACGTGTATTTTACATTCTCCTCCTATGGCTCCTCCTCTATCTTCTCTGTCCGTGCCTATGTTAGGATTTCCCTACTAAAGTTAAGTTCCTAAAGGGAAGGTTTATTTTTATAGCCTGCTAACTCACACAGGATCTGTTCCCATACAGACCTATTGGTTTGATGAGGGGCCAACACATTTAAAAATATTTGGAAACACTAGATGCTTTACAAGAAACTAGGTTTATTACTAAACTTAATAATAAAATAGGAACTCTCTACAAGAGTTCATAGTTTGGACACTATTTCTCTATGGAGAAATATATGCAATTGTTACTGAAAACATCTTATGACCCAGTTTCTTTCTCCAGATCCAACAAGCTCCCTGAGGTTCAAAAGAAGACACTTTGCCAAAAGATACACGGACACCAACTAAGGTTTAACGAACTCCTTTCCCTGATATCTCATTTAATACACCACCTCATGAATTGGGCAGCACAGCTACCTCTGCCTCTCTTCTAGAAATACGGGATGCTCGTTCAGACAACTTTCTCGCCACAATCTAATGTGCCTCACCACTCCTAACCGACAGTCTTACCAGTCAGCTTGCCAGTAACTTGAAGCCTGCAAGTGTAACGGGCCAGCAATTTGTGCTTTTCAAAGATTCCAACTGCCAAAAATAAATGAGAGCTTAGGACACAGCCACCATGCTTAATACCCAAAGACTTGTTTTGTTTGTTTTATTTTTCAAAGGCTGTGGCTTTGCTGGCTCCTGCTTTATATGATTCCTTATTATGCTCTATGTTGAATTATACTTTTAAATTTTTGGACAAATCACTGTAACACAGAAGTCTTGTTCAATTTAACAAGCTGTGGAGAGTGGCAAATGGGGGCAGGAGGGTTCTCTTGATGCCAACAAAATAAGACTGACTTTGAAGTATCTTGGTCACATTAACAGCAAAGAGCATCCTTTTTCTCTTACCATAAAAGTACCTTGTGCAAATACTACAGCATCTGAGACACACACAAAGTTCAGGAAAGCCTCGTGACCAATGTACTCACTGCTGGTGTAAATATAGTGACAGAGATCACCAACACTACCTTTCCCAGCAGTAGACCTTAACATTTGGTACCGTATTGGAACGCACACCAATCCTGAGCCTTCACATGTCCATCAACTTCCAAGGTGGGAATGATCAACTGGTGAAGGAAAAGAACTGGAATGGTCATTATAAGCCCTATTTTCTAAATATTAGCTCTGCCACTATGTCTCGGTTGTTCTCATTTCTACTAAGGACAATACATATGTGGCAGTGCTCTGGAGAAGACACTTCTGGGTAGCCCTAAACTACTGGTTCTTGCAGTGAGTGGGAAATGCACACGCCAACTAAGAGCCGTGCCTTGGCTCCGAATACCCCTGCAGTGAGGTCATAGCGAAGCCAGTCCAAGTGTTTGCTAGAATAAACAAGAGGCCACAGATGCGATCTGAGATGGCTTCCCTCCCTGGGCAAACAACTAGGTGAATGTGTCAAGAGGAGAAGATGGTGTAAGAGGTAAAGAACAGGAGTAGCCAGACCTCAAATGTAGATAATTTTTGCATGTGTTCTCACCGACTTCTTTCGGCATCCATCTCAACAGAACTTAAGTACGTTTCTATGAGGTTATAAACTGCACCGTTTCCCCCATTTAGGTACCTGCCCCAAATCACCAGGAAGAGATAGAGAACGTGATAAAGGACTTACACATTCCGGTTTCTAGTCTGGATTATATCCACCATAAAATGTCTCCTCATTGTCTAGAGAAGTTACTTGACATGAACTGCAATGTACAAAAATTTGATTTCATTGTGAAGAAATCCTTTCTTTTAGGGGGCTAACTCTTTTCTGGGAACTATTTCAGGGTACCACTGTATAGCAGACAGAAGCATGGGCATTGGAACCAGAGAGCCACAGTTGTAATCAGCACTGAGTTATGAGATATATGGCTTTGGGAAATTTACTTACCCTCCGCAAACCTCAGTTTCCTCATCTGTTCAACAGGGATATAGCGAGTATCACCTCCCAAGCTTAGACATTAAATAAGACAATGTATGCAAAACGTTTAGCAGAGATCCTGACAAATGGTAAGAACTTAGGCAATACTAAGACTATTACGTAGTTACCAGGTGTGCACACGTGTGTATATGTAAGCGTGTAAGCATGTACACGGCATATGTGTGTATATGTGTACCTGTGTGTCCATGACTGTATGCATGTGTGCATACGTGCATGTGTGCATATAGGTTTGTACCACCCATACTGCTGTGTAAGTGGATGTGGGTCTACTTGTGTGCATACGAGGTAGTAGAGAGAAGTAGGAAAGGAGGAGAAGGAAAAAAAGAGAAAACAGGGTCAGGAAGGTGGGAAGAAGCTAGATTAAAATTAAAAATAAAGGCCTTGATGGATAGTAGCTTTAAAAACACATATCCTGACAAGCAGAAGGGCAATTAGATATCTCATACCACAACAATGACACATCCTCAGATTAAATTTCTAAATCTATTCTCCCATTCTAAGGCCTTTTCTTCCCAGAAATTGCAAAACAGGGAACAAGAATAGATGTGTGAGCCTGTGCATGTTTGTTTCTTACCCACTTGGAGAAAGGGTGTGAGGCGGTCATGAGAGCATAAACTTAATTTTTATTGAAAAAAATAAACCTATTC